GCACAGCCCACCACAGAGCCTGCACAGCCCACCAGAGAGCCCTAACAGCCCACTATAGAGCCCGCACAGCCCACTATAGAGCCCGCACAGCCCACTATAGAGCCCGCACAGCCCACTATAGAGTCAGCACAGCCCACTATAGAGCCCGCATAGCCCACCACAGAGCCCGCACATGGAAATTCAATATAGAAATGCAGATTTATTTGTAGTCTTTGACCAGAGATCCCCTGTAATGTGAAATATGAGTTGTGCTGAGCAGTGATAATGTCACCTGTTCCTTTCTCTCATTAGGTGTCATTGTCGCTGTGATCGCGGTCCTGGTGATCCTCATCGTGGTGGTGCTCCGTTACAAATACAGACACAATGGAACCTATTTCACCAACGAGGCCAAAGGCACCGAATTCGCCGAGAGCGCCGACGCCGCCCTGAAAAATGACCCGTCGCTGCAGGACTCCGTAGACGAGTCGAAGAAAGAATATTTCATCTGAGAGGACGGAGAATGGTCTCTCCCGCCCCTCTCTGACTTCCCCGTGTTTACATTCGCAAACACTACCGCGTTATATGAAGAGCTACATCAAAGTCCTGTTTCTCAGAACGGGGCCTGTTGAGTCTCAGGGGATCACAGATAATATGCTGGAATATATACCAAAGAAATTGTAAAATTCTGGGCGTGGCGCTGCGAGGCTGATGAATAATTCTGACGCTAAGGCGTTGGCATTGAGGCTTCCGGGCACGACGGCCGAAGAATTCACTTTGAGATGAATGTCTGCATAAGGATGATAAACTTTGTTACTTTATAGAAAAAAGAACATTATTAATGTACATGTTGCAGTCCGTACCGTCATCACTTCTCAATCAGTATATGTTACTTGGGAATTATGAGCCTTCTATGTGATGTGTACTAATGCCACACAATGGAAACTCCAAGCCGACCACTCTACCACTGCAAGTATACAAAGGTGCAGCAACCTACAGCAACCAATCAGCCATCATTGTTTTGTCTTGCTACAGGTCAGCATTAGGGATGAGCTCAGGTTCATTGGCTACATGGTCCTCCTGTCCAATCACCTGCAGATCACCCCACAACTGACCATAACCTAATGCTTGTGCTGACTTCATTGACCTTATATGGTCACATATTGTTATCGACCAAATATAGCCATGTGGTTATGTTAGGTCAATGACATCATTGCATCCCACCCCTTTTTCTTTCTGCTGGCAGGCATTTAAAATAGCCCCTCCCCTGGCTGATATGGGATGTGAGGCTTCTTTTTTTCTAGGGTATGATATAAAACAATAGGGATGAGCTCAGGTTCATTGGCTACAGGCAATCAGCTGCAGGTCAACCGACAGCTGACCATAGACTAAGCGGCGGGATACTTGTGCTGATGTCATTTACCTTATATGGCTACATGGCCATATTAGGTCATTGTTATTGGCCAAATATACCCATGTGGCCATATAAGGTCAATGACATCATTGCATCCCGCCTCTTTTCGTATGTGCAGCTGCTGGTGGGCATTTATTATACCCCCCTCCCCTGGCTGATATGGGATCTGTTGCTTATTTTTTAATGCTAGGGTATGATATAAAATGTAGTATCAGTGACGGGTTGCTACAGGTCAACATTAGGGATGAGCTCAGGTTCATTGGCTACATGCAATCAGCTGCAGGTCACCCCACAGCTGACCATAAACTAAGCAACGGGATACTTGTGCTAATGTCATTGACCTTATATGGTTACATGGCCATATTAGGTCATTGTCATTGGCCAAATATAGCCATGTGGTCATATTAGGTCAATGACATCACTTCATCCCGCCTCTTTTCTTATGTGCAGCTGCTGGCGGACATTTAATATGCCCCCCTACCCTGGCTGATATGGGACCTGAGGCTTCTTTGTTCTCTAGGGTATGATATAAAACATAGTATCGCTGATGGGTTGCTACAGGTCATCATTAGGGATGAGCTCAGGTTCATTGGCTACATGAGCCTCCCACCCAATCAGCTGCAGGTCACCCCACAGCTGACCATAAATTAAGGAGTGGGATACTTGTGCTGATGTCATTGACCAAATATAGCCATGTGGCCATATAAGATCAATGACATCACTGCATCCTGCCTCTTTTCTAATGTGCAGCTGCTGTTGGGAATTAATATGCCCCCCTCCCCTGGCTCATATGGGATCTTATGCTTCTTCTTTTTTTTTTCTAGGGAGAACGGTGATTGGCCCACAAGCTGAAATGATCCTTTCCCCCGCAACCATGTTTCATAGTAAATTAGGAGAAAAATAGTATCCAAAATGTGACTTCAAAAGAAAAAAAAAAGATCCTTCGGAGATGCGAAGACCGCCATCTCCGAACGATGAACCGTCGCATTAGCAGCGTCAACTACGGACTGACAACATTTCTGATGTTTTGCAATGCAACACTATGCTGTGCTCTTTGGGGGCCACTGTACCTATAACGCAAGAACAAAAAAAAATATTAATTAACGTACATACATAAAGTGGTGGGCGGGGTTTCTATAGCCAGCCTGCTATTGGCTATTGCAAATTGCAATTGTCAATAGCAGGCTGGCTAATGTTCCCGCCCACCGAGCCGAAGACCAGACCTGAGAGAGAACTTTCTCTCTATGGGACCGCTCCTCTGCTCAGTGGGTGGGGCTTCAATAGCCAGCCTGCTATTGGCTTTTGCTATTTAAATTAGCCAATAGCAGGCTGGTTATTGCTCCCGGCTGCTTCCATTCCCCTGTCAGCTGCAGCAGCTGGACCTTGCATTTCAGCCTCAGGGGAGGTTGCCTACTATTTTGATCAATGGGGATTCTGGTCAGAAGGAAAGATGTGTGAAGATAAATACAATCACTCTCACCACACACACTCGTTGGAATATGATATTCAATATAGCATATAATACTATATAATACTATGTACCTTACGCATAGATACAGTATATAATATTATATAGTATACATCTAAACCCGAAAACCAAAGTTTAGCTTCACCATCCATTGATTTGGCAGCTGCATACGTTTTCTTTTCAGACTAAGTACATTTTCTGCAAGTACAGAAAATTGCCGATTGATCCTGCCAGAAATTCAGCCCCCTTGTAACTTCCTGTGCTGTTATCAGCCGTCCCAGCTATCCATTGTACGCTACACAACTACTCCTCTCCATGCAATGCAGATGAGTTGAGAAGATGGTGTTTATAGTCCAAATTAGAAGTGCAGCCTAAGCTGACAACGCTGTTTCTCCACAGATACAGTGCAGTGAGCGTTGTCACCTTAGGACAGGAAGTGTTACTGATAGGATCACCAGGTGATAATAAAGGGGGGGAAAAGCCAGAAGAAAACGAAGGCAGCCACCACATCTAAGGACTGATAAGCTGCGATATATATATATT